AGCGGGCAGGTGGGACAGTGCAACCAGATCATAAGGACTCGCGGGTGGGATTTGACGCCGGAGCTGGAAGCATATGGCCAGTGGCTAAAGGCTAGGATGAGCTGAGAGGCAGGGATGCCAGGGTACCCCTGGAGAAGACTGTATAATCATCCTTCTGAAGCGGTTCACGATGGAGAAATAAGAAGAGAAGCGCAAGTACGAAAGTAATTTCCAGCATACTAATGCTGGGCTGAAGTGGACTCGGGTCGAAGGATCGCACCACATCGGCGATGCATCGTCGACGCATCAACTATGTCAAAAGATCTGGCTTCAGATTCAGCGGTCCTCGCCGATGTTTCGTGTGATGCGGCGTGATCCTCCGCATCAGTCTTCTCCTGCCCTATTTGAAGAGGCCCAGTGCAGGACGAGGAAAACAAGAAGGGTCTGGTCCCCAACATCAAGTTCTCAAGCCAGCACCTCTTGTATCTTCAGACCACTGAACGCCCTCCGCCCGAGGTGGTGGCATGGTGAGTTGAGCAGAGTTGCGTCGGCTCCCCGACATTGCGGCCGCCTCTGGGATCAGCATGCCGAGGAGCTTCGGATACATGCGGACCTGCTCGGGGGCGCTGAGATCAGGCTGGACTGTGGCAAGGGACGCTGAGATAATCATGAGTGTGAGTCTCTCCTCCTCGTCTCTCATTTCCGCTCCAACTGCATCTGCTCCTCCGCCTGCTCAGCTCTCCCATCATGCGTCTTTTCTCACTGCCCCCACCACTCCACGTCATCGAAGTATGGTGCACGAGCAAGTGCGACATTAGCCCGTAGGCCAGTAAACGAGGTCGTATCGACAAATTGGGGTCGTATCGACAGATCGTGGCACTATCGGGCCACAAGCGGGGTATCTGAAAAGGACGAGACCTGCGGAGGTAGGAACTGGAATGAAGACGAGAAGAGGGACGAAGCGACGAAGATGAAAACGACAACGAGGGCGCGGGGGTGCACAGACAGCGTCAGAACTAACGTTTCCCAGCGTTCTGCCAGAGTCATCGGTTTCGTCGGAATGGGGGTTCGTCGCAAGGGCTTCGTCGCGGGGGGGCCCAAGCTGAGCCGAGACGACCTGCCCGCCTGAAACAATTGCGCAGTGCGATTTCAGTCCCGCCCGCGCCGCCCGCCGCCAGCCTGTGAGAGCGCGGTGTTCCGCATGGTGGCTTGGTCGGCCGGGGCTTCGCCGGAACCCGAAACCCGCACACCCCCCTTGGGGCGAGGGGGCGCCGATGCTGCCGAAGGTGGGTGCGGGGGGGGTGAGCGGCGGCAACGCCCGGGGCGCCTCGCACGGTGCCCACCGCGGAGGACGCTGCGGCTGCAGCCCAGTGGGCTGCGGCCACCCCCGCCCCTCCAGACTGTGCCTAGAGGCGCCGCCACTGTGGAGGCAAGTCCACAGGGGACCTTCCACAAGAAACCCAACCCTGAGACCACAAGACGTCCATTAGTTTTTTGGTGTGGGAAAGCCACGCGTTCCATGCCAAAACCATCGAAACCCAAGAAACCCAGGGCTCCCTGGAGGCAAGCAGGGTGTTTCTTGGCATGGGCCTCCACTGGCCACGGCGAGCCTCAGCCACGGAGAAAGACGCCGACCTGCCTCTCAGAAGTGGCCCGACAACCAAAACTTGCTGAATCCAAAATGGTCTTCCGCTCAGCGTCTTGACCCAGGGCGGGTCGTCGTCGCCGGGGCGGCGATTGTCGTCCACGCGACGCCCGCCCCGTTTGACTCCAGGGGTGGCCCACCCGGCAGGGCGGGCGCCACAACTCCGCCCTGACGCGACAGCAGTGGGGCCACGGTGGAGCTCCCCGTGGGCCACGATCGTGCCGAAACGGGGCGGTGGCGCCATGCCACCGTGATTTTGCCCAAAAACGCCCATCTCGAAAGCGTGTTGAAGCGAGTCCAACCCCCCGGACCCAAGTGCAAAGTTCGGGGCGGTGGATGCGGGGGAGTGCGAGTCGTTTCGATAAAAACGCCCACATTTGCAAACTGTGGCCTGCTCCCTTAGATGAACATTGAAATCGGGGGCGCGGGGAGCGCTCTTGCGCCATCTTCTAGGCGTTGTGCTTGGGCGTTTTTTTCGAAAACGCCAGTATCTGTCCCGCTGGGGCCCTCGGTGAAATCCCCCGTGGGGCCACGAGATGCGAGGGGTGTGCCGACAGGGGGCGCTAGCGCAATGCTGTCCCTCTGCGACTTGCGGTGTGGGAGGAGGAGCAGGAGGAGGAGCAGGAGGAGGAGGAGGAGGAGGAGGAGGAGGCTGCGCGCTCTGCGGATACAAAGCGAGGACCCAACACCACGTCACCATGACAGCAACGGGTCGGGGCACGGGCCTCGAACTCGGGAGCCGTTTCCCAATATTAGTTTCGTCCTGTGTAGTTTCTGATGGTCCCGGGGGCCCTCCCAAGGCCCCTGGATCCTGAGGAAACGGCAAAACAACCTCCAGGACACGTTCCCCGAACTATCCTTTGAATGCATGGCGAAGCTGAACCCACGATGTGCGCATTCCCCCCCGCAGCAGGCAGCTTGAACTGCCGACCTGGGGAGGCTGAAACTAAAGATTGTGAGGAGGCGAGGGGCGAGGGGATACGGTGGTGGTGGTGGTGGAAGGATGTGCGATGAATTGCTGCGAGAAAGGACCTCTGCCCGCTCACCAGCCCGACTGGTTTGCCCTCATCTGGGGTTGGTCGGACGAACCTGAATCAACAAAATCCTCCCTCCCACCCGTCCCAGCAGCGGCAGCAGAAGAGGATGACGAGGGGCGGTGGAGAGCGGAGAAGACAAGATGGAGGAGAGGATGACGAGGAGGCCGAGGAGGACGATGAGGAAGGAGGAGAAGACGGGAGGACAGGAGGGATGAAGAGAGAGAGGAGGAACGAGGAGAGAGGAGGGATGCGGAAAGAGAGGAAAGGAGGAGGATAAGGAGGAGGATGAGAGAAGACAGATGGGAGGAGAGAGGAGAGAAGGAGAGAGGAGAGAGGAAGAGAGAGAGAGAGAGAGAAAGAGAGAGAGAGAGAGAGGGAGGAAGACGGGCGGCGCGCGCGGGCCGTGAAGCGCCGGAAGTCGTCTGGGGGGAAGCTGCCGCAGGCGTAGGAGAATATGCCCTGCGGGCGTCCAAATGGGGGCGGCCGAGGTCGCCGGCGAGGGGGGGGGGGAAGTGAGGAGGGACGGGCCTTCTCAGAAGGACGCCGCCAGCGCCCCGCGGCCTAGTGGAGAAGTCTTCCAAGCCTTCCCCAAAGACACAAACATCTGATCAGAAGACCAGAGGGCTTCTGAGAAGCCCCGCCGCGTTTGGAGAGGCCTTTGTCTTCTCACTCCCCACCCTCGCTCGCCGCCGAGTTTTGCAAGGATGTGGCCATGAAAGGATACGTGTTTAAACAGAGCAAGCGCTCCCATCTCCTTCAGCCCCTCCAGACGGACGGTACTGAAGGAACGCCCGAAAACGGGCGGGTGGCCTCCCATGATCATTTATCTGATACAGTGCGATGATAGCTCGGACTGGGTGGGCTAAACAAGATGAGAAAAAAATGACGGCTACGCTGAAGATGGACAACAACAAAGAATATTAACTATGAGAAAATTAGAAACGGAAGCTGGAGAAGCAACGAGCGCAGCAGAAGGAACTGGAGACATATCTCACGCTGGGGGGGGATCAAAAACATGGCGGGGGAGGTTACGAGTTATCTCGTGGCGGACGTTCTGGCAAATTTCTGGAAGGAGGAACTGGGAGAGGGTGATGTGACGATGATGAACACACTTTGGCGACACACATACAAATAGAGATCTCATGGTAGAACCACGCGAGCTTCGCGCGCTTATGATCTGGTCCACTTCGCAGACGCTGTCAATCGACACGCAATGTCTCTTCACGTGCCCATTTGCGCTGGGTACGCATGAGGGAAGTTACTGCGAAGCTGACAAACGTGCGGTGGAATCAAGCCGTGGCGACGAGGTGTCTCAAAAAACGCAGACGCACAGGAGCAACCAAACAACACACAATAAACATCCCGCGCGGAACAAACAACAACAACAGGAACAACAGACCCAGGGCTCGCCGCGGGGCCCTGAGTCCAAGGCATCTTGCATATGTGTATAATTGTGTGTACACGTTTATGTGCACCTTATACTGGTACACATTGCACTTACTCTATTAAACTTGCATTAACAGTTACATATATGCGTAATCAAAGAATAGACATATGTCTGTTATATATAATTATATATGCACCTAATTTTGTAGTAAGCAAAACGCATATATCTATTTATATAGTTATGCATGTGGGCGCTTGCCTCCCCGTGCTAAGAACGTTGGCTTCATGTGTAACTAGATGGCCAATGTAAGTCGTGATTGTTTCCTTGCGGGGTTCCCCGCCTCGATGTACACATCAATATCCTCCCGTCTGGATGAGCAGCAACTCCAAAAGGTAGCGTGCACGGTTGGCATCAGTTCGCGCTGCACAACACCTAAACGCGTGGCTCACCACTGACAACGATGTTAAGCCTTGCTCAGTTGTTGCACACGTTGTTTAGAAGCGCAATGCCTTACGAAGACGTAATCCTTGCCGAGTTTTGCAGAGCCCTACTTTTCATGTGTACGCATATGAACATGCTGAGATGTCGAAATCTGTACAAAACCGTGGCGTGTCCTGCCAAGCCCCCGTAATCCCTGCTAAGTAAGCAGCACCGCTCCCTGCCAGGCGCTGCGAAGCCACGACAAGCTCTGCGAAGCCCGGCTAAGTCCTGGCGCGCCCTGCCGAGACCTGGTAAGCAATAGTATGTACTGGTAAGCTCGGCTATGCCCTGCTACGATTAGCAAGCCCTGCTGAGCCCAGCTGAGCCCTGCTGACCCCTGCGATGTCAAGGAAAGCGTTGCTCTGTAAGACTTGCTATGCCCGACGAAGCCTGCGAAGCATTACCGAGCCCTGCTGAGCCTTTGCTCAGTTCTGCTCAGCCCTGCTCAATTTCAATTATGGCCCGCCCTGCGGAACCCTGTTCTCTGCTGAAGCATGGTGTTCGTTGGCGGTCCACGGTGAGCATTGTCATACCTGGGCAAACTTTGATCTGCCCTGCGAAGCACGGTAAGCCTTGCGAAAATCAGCAAGCCTAGCCTGCCTGGTCGGCCTTGCTGATAAGCCTTGCTGAGCCCTGCTCAGCCTTGGCAAGCTTTGCTCAGCCCTGCGAATCCTTGGGGCGCCTCATGCCCTGCTGAACATTGTTGAGCCCTGTTGGGCCCTGCTAGAACTTGGCCAGCCTTGCTAAGCCCTGGTAAGCCCTGCTAGGGCCTTGCAAACCTCCTGCTAATCCTTGCGAAGCCGGAAGTCCTGCTGAGCTGCGCTGAGTCCTGCTTATGATGAGCTGTGCTAAACCTTGACAAGCACTGCTAAGGCCTTGTGAACGCTGCTACGCCCTACTGAGCCTGCTAAGCACTGGCCAGCCCTGGCAAGCTCTGCTACGCCCGGCTGTGCTGCTGAGCTCTGGGAAGTTTCGCGAAGACCTGGTGGACCCTGCTACGCCCTGTTCGGCGCGGCACTCCTTACTACACTCGTGTAAAGTTGGTAGGCCTTGCTAAACCCTGATACGTCGTGCTGAGCCCTGGTAAACGTTGCTCGGCCTATCATCCTCCTGGTCGACCCTGCTAAGCCGTGCTGAGCTGTGCTAATTGCGACTCCCGCGCAATCGCTGCTGATCGCTGCTAACTAAACCCAACTAAGCCTTGCTCAGCCTGGGTAAAATTTGCTAAGCCAGGCGGCCACACATCAGGACACAATGTTTGTAGTCACCAACGGCCGTACCAATAGACCTCGCTTGGCGGGAGATGCCGGCGCAATGACCTCCTCTGGAGGGGAACACAGAAGGCATCGCGTGCCGGCCTACTTAACTACCCTCGCCTTGCCTGCCGCTCGCTTGCATTCTGGATTCGCGCAGTCGCCGACCATCGCCCACCTGCACTCTGGATCGGCCTGCCGCCCACCTGCACCCTGGATGGGCGCGCCTTGGGCAGAAGAGCTGCGGGAGGTGGGGTTGAGTGGAAGAGGTCGGGGCCGTGAACCCGCGCTGGCCACCTCCGCACCTCGCTCCCCTTGAATGGTGGGGGGGGATGGGGGGCCCGGGCTCGGGGCCAGGGGGGGAATGCGACGGGGGGGGGGGGGTGAATGCCTCCCCCACACCCCGTCGCATTCCCCCCGCTCCCCCCCCCACTGGTCTCGAATTGAGGAATCCGGGGAGGGAGCGTTCAACACAAACACTCCCCACCCCAAAAAAAATTCGAAGCGTAAAAGGGACCGAAGACCCCCCAACAAAAACAAGTCTGCATTTTGGTAGGGGTGGGGGAATGGGCCCAGACCCACACATATGTATGTATTTATGTGTATATATATATACATACATACATACATACATACATACATACACGCACACACACACACACACACGTAGCACCCCGCAAGGGCGGATAATAGTGAGGGAGCGGCGGGGACGTCTGCAGTCTGCGAGGCTCTGAAGAAGCCCGCCGCAGGCGCGTAGTCTTTACAAATTATACAACGAGGCCGCCGCAGGTGCCGATTTTTCGTTAAAACAATGTGCGTGGGTCGCGTGGTGGGTCGCGTGGTGGGTCGCGGGTGGGTCGCGGGTGGGTCGCGGGTGGGTCGCGGGCCGGGTCGCGGGGTCGCGGGTGGGTCGAGGGTGGGTCGCGGGCCAGGTCGCGGGGGCGACGACGCCAAACAACAACAATAACAACCAACAAGTCAAACAAACAAACGAACGAATGAATGAACAAAGAAACCACCTCAAGAATCCGCATCGCGGAATCCCACTTCAGCCACGCAGTCAAGGACAGTGAATGACCGTTCGGCACCCTCACTCCGCAAAATTTACAAATGTATATATATATGTATGTATACAAACATATACATGTACACAGACATAGACATACATATTCATATTATATATATACACCACATACGTATATAGAACCGTATACACGCACATATGCAAGTACACATACAAATACATATACACATACATACACAAGTACATACACATCTATATGTGTATATACACATGCACAAACGCATGCATACCTACACACAATTCCTTCTCTTATATGTTTACCTTCTGGGACCCTGCAAGCACCCCTACACACGGGACACCCCCTGGTATCCTTGGCTATCGGGCGCACCTTGTACGCCCTTGCAGACAGAGTTCCCTGTGCTTTCTCGGGCTCTTCAAGCACCTGCTGGGCCAAGGCACAGGGCCCAAATCGGTCAAGAATGCGGCCGAACGGCCCCGCGAGAGCCCACAGAGGCCCCAAACGCCAATCAGACGCCCGAAGACAACCCAAAAGACGACCCCCAAGAGGCATTCGAACCAGAAAAAACATGGATGTCCGATGGTGTTTGCATGAATTAGGGGGTGCTTTGCTATTCGGATATCTGGGCGTCTGAAACCGCCCAGGAGTGCAGAGAATCGCTCCGAATTACATCAAAAGGGCCTCCAAGCATCCAAGAGTAGCCCACGACGGCCCAACACGGCCCCAAGATGCCCCGAAGAGAGCCCCATGACGGTCCAAGACGGCCCCAAGACGCCTTCCGAATCGTTCCAAATCGTGACCCGTTCGTTCAGGGAGACAGCGGTTGGAAGCAGGGTGGCCCAGGGAAGCCTCCAGAGGCGCCCAGAAAGAACACAGAAGGAACCCGGGAGGTCTCCAGGCCCCCACGACCTTACAAAGCGTTCGTGAGGGCCCCAAGCAACTCTCCTAGGATGAGCCTCCGCAAATAAAGCTGAGGATGGAACGGCTTGGCCTGGTAGGGCGAGGATGAGGAAGATGAACCATGAGAAGAATAACGAACAACCAGAGTCCAACGACAATGCCGAGAAACACAACAACGAGTATCGCAACATGATCCATTGTACATCATAATCCTCCTGGCTGCATGCCAGGACCAAAGTGCATGGCGCGAAGCGCTAATGCATGTTCTCTTACATAGAACATCGGGAGCTCATTAACCCCCCCCCCAGGGTTATTAGTAGCACCGCACCGATAGTAAGAACTTCCGAGGGGGGATGGTAGTCGAACGATAACTTTAGCACCGCGCCACAAAACAAAACAGATAATACTTATCCACCTCCCCGCAACCGAGATCTACACAAAACTGGCGGCAAGAACGCAAGGACCGTGACATTCGCTTCGAACATCTGCAAAGAGTTTCAATGATTGAGGGCAGCTCGGTTTCAAATGTGGCTCTCGCCTTAGCGCCGCGCACGTTCGTTACAACCATTTGCACGAATTTCACGGATTGAGGGCGACTCGTTTTCTAAATGTGGCTCTCGCCTTAGCGCCGCGCACACGCGTGTCAAACAATGACAATAGGTTTACGGATTGAAGGCGGTTCGTTATCAAAATGTAGCTTCCGCCTTAGCGCCACGCACATTCACTATAACAATGTGCACCACTTTCGCAGATTGAAGTCGGCTCTGTTTCAAAATGCAACTCTCGCCTGAGCGCCGCGCGAATTCCGTAAAACATTCACAGGTTGCACGGATTGAGGGCGGCTCCTTTGCAAAAGGTGGCTCTCGCCTTAGCGCCGCGTGCATTCGTTTTTCTGACAAGTGCACGAGCTTCACGTATTGAGGGCGGCTCGTTTTCAAAATGTGGCTCTCGCCTTAGCGTCGTGCGTATTCGTTTTAAAACTGTACCAGAGCTTCACGGATGGAGGACGTCTCAGGCGAAACGCCCAGGCTACCCTAACTACACGTCTGCGGGTGCGGCATGGAGGTGTTAATACGGGATGGAGGAGGATGAAGATGGGGAGGAGGAGGCGGAGCAGGGGAAGAGGAGGACGAGAGGAGGAGCAGAGGAGGCGGGAGAGCACGAGGAGAGGATGAGGGGAAGGAGGAGGACAGGAGGAGAGGAGGAGGGGTAGGAGGAGAAGAAGGGAGAGGACAGGAGGAGGAGGAGGAGGAGGAGGAGGAGAAATAAGCGGAGGAGGAGCAGGAGGAGCGGGAGGAGGAGGACGAGGAGGAGGAGGAGCGAGGGGCAGGAGAGCGCGCCTGCTTCCGCGAATGCCCGTGGAGGTCGACGTACCTGCTGCGCGCGGGCGGGCGGGTCCCTCGCGGGCCGCGGTCAGAGCCCCAAGGCGTGGGGCTCGCCCGCCGGGCCGGGGCCGAGAGCTCATCCAAGGGGAGGGCGCCGTCCCAAATCTCCGAGGACGCAAGCTGCTCTTTGGCTTGGGGCCCGGCGATACCTCGGGTCATCGGGCACGCCTGACCTGTCATTCACGGTTGTGAAGGTACGGAGGAGCACGCAATTCTGGTGCGCGCGGGCACACGTCGAGCTGCCCAGAGCAAAAAAGCCAGGCTATCGGCCGTCCCCTTCCCCCCCCCCCCCCACATCGGACAACCCGGGTTACCAGCGAAAACTGAAAAAAAGGTCTCACGCTTCCTCAATCCCAATGTTTTTCCTCTACCTCTGCTTCTGGGGCCCTCTGTGCGGCCGCGGTACCATCTGCAACGGATCTGGGGCGGTGAATCTGACCCTGAGGCAGCGGTCGTGACTCCAAGGACCACGGATTGAAAACGAAAGCCATGTCGGAGGATGTCGGGGGCACGGAGATCGGCGGCGCGCACAAAGATCGGATGCGTGACCAGGGTGCAATCGAGAGGGGACAGGCCTTCCCGAAGGCGATCACGCTTCTGAGAAGCCTTGGCGCGCCTTCTGAGGAGCCTTCTCCGCGGCCTCGGAAAGGGCCTGGAAAGCGTCTCAGAAGGCGGGAGACCTTCTGAGCCTTCTGAGACGGCCCGCACTCTGCCTTACGACCTGGGGGCGCCGCCGACAAGAGAAGAGAGGACCGTGCTAACAGCCTACCCCGCGCAGCCTGCCCCGTTTACTGCACCCCGCGGCCTGCACGGCGCAGCCTGCACCGCGCAGCTAACACACTTTTTTGGTCTGCGGGTCGAGAGCGAGCCTCTTCCGGTTAAGAGCTAGACGCAGCTGACACACACCCAGGGTGAAGATGTCACTGTTCGGGGCCCGCGCTTGCAGAGTTTTCCATATCGTCTGCTGCCAAAGGCCGCCTCGGGTGACTGAAGTCCGCCACTGTGCCTGACAGATGCGGGCGTGTTTGAATGCCAGGTGCGGCTCTGTAGGTTCCCTGTGTTCCAACCCTGTAAGGGTTATGCATTCGCGTTCCCGAGGCCACAATCCCTCGCTTAAAAAACTATGGATCCACGTCTCGAGCTTTCAAGATCGCCCATGCATGCAACCAAGGACAACAAGATGGACCCAAATGCCTCGAATACCGGCCAAGATTACCCCGAGGCGGCCGAATGTAGTCTCGAGACGGCCTAACCTGCCTTCAAGAAGGCCCAACTGGGCCACAAGAGGACCTCCAACCGGGCCCGAAGAAGGCACAATCATTGATTTCCCGAAAGATTTAGACTGATGTTCGCATTACCACATGGTCAGGCTTCCGTCATGAGAGAGAGCGTGATCCACCGCCGACTGTCGAAAATCCCCCCCCTCTTCCTCCAGAACCTGGGGGTCCCCCCCTCCCCCCCCCTCCGAAAATCCCCCCCCCCTGCTGGACACCCCCCCCATTCCCCCTACAAAACCCCTCCCTCCCCTACCCCCCCCCTTCGGAAAACGGGGGGGGTCACTATACCGGTTCGACACATCCCACCCCCTCCGGAAAACAGGGGGGGGTCACTACCGGCTCGACCCCCTGCAGAAATCACAAGGGGGTCAATACCGGTTCGAACCCCTCCCCCCCACTCCAGAGAACCGGGGGGGGGGGGTCATTACCGGTTCGAACCTCATCCCCCTCTCGAAAACCGGGGGGGGTCACTACTGGTTCGAACTCCCCCCCCTCCCTCCCCCCTCGAAAACCAGGGGGGGGTCACTACCGGCTCAATCCCCCCCCTCTCGAAAACCTGGGGAGGTCACTACCGGTTCGAACCCCTCCCCCCCCCACGCTCACCGCCATCAAACGACTCCCGGGTCCCTACCACCGTCCGCACCACATCCCCCACTGCTGTCCCCAGCACCACTGTCCTCACCACCAGTGTCCCCACTATTCCCACCTCCGTCCCCACTGTCTCCACCCCCCGACCACTGTCGCACTGTCCCCACTGTCCCAACCACTGTTCCCACCACGGCGCCACTCTCCCAACTTTCTCCACGGCCCCAACCACTGTCCCACTGCCCCCACTGTCCCACTCTCCCACTGTCCCCGCCGCTGTCCCACTGTTCCCACCGCTGTCCCCACTGTCCCCACCACTGTCCCCGCTGTACCTCTGTCCCATTATCCCACCGCCGTCCTCGCCACCGCCCTCACCACTGTCCCCACCACCCCTTACCCTCCACTGTCCTACTGTTTCCACCACGTTCCCCACAACACCACTGTCCCACTGTCCCCACTGTTCCCACTGTTCCCATCACTGTTCCACTGTCCCCACCACTGTCCCCACTGTACAACTGTCCCACCACTGACCTCACCACCGCCTTCACCACTGTCCCCACTACTACCGTCCCCAGCACTGTCCCACTGTCCCCACCACTGTCCCGCTGTCCCCTCACCACTGTCCCCACCACCACCGTCCCCACCACTGTCCGCACCACTGTCCCACTGTCCCCGCACCACTGTCCCCACCACCACCGTTCCCACCACTGTCCCAGCATCCCCACCATTGTCCAACTGTCCCGAGGAGCGGGAATCGTTTGCCGGCGGCGAGGGGGGGAGGGGGGGGGGTTCGAAACGGAAGTGACCCCCCCCGGTTTTCGAGGGGGGGGGGATTCGAACCGGTAGTGATCCCCCCCGGTTTTCGAGGGCGGGGGGTTCGAACCTGTGGTGACCCCCCCCCTTTTCATGATGGCTGGGGGGGGGAGGAGGGGTTCGAACCGGTAGTGACCCCCCTCGGTTTTCGAGGGGGGGGGGGGACGGGCTGGAACCCCCAGTGACCCCCCCCCAGTTTTCCGCCAGCAGCCGTAGAACACGCTCTTTCCGTCATGACAAGATTACCCAAGCAGCCACTACGATGGCCCCAAGACGGCCCAAGAGGCCCATTAAGGGTCCAAAGATGGTCAATGCGGACCCCGCGAAGGCCCACGAGGCATACAAGACGGCCTCAAGATGACCTTGCGTGGGATCCAAGACGGCCTCAGAAGGCCCTTCGTCTGCCTAAGACAGCGCCAAGACGGCCCTCAGGCACCCACCATACAGCCAAGATGGCACAAAGACGGCCCAGCAGAGCCCCGAGACGGCCCCAAGAAGGCCCCAAAGAGCCCCCAAGACTGCCCCACAGGAGGCCAAGACAGCCTCACGACGGCCCAGACGAGTCCCATAAGAGCTCCTTAAACAGTTAAGACGAACGGAGCCACATGTGACTGCCGTCCTCTTCCTCCTCCTCGTCCACCTCTTCCTCCTCTTCACCCTCCTCATGATCCTCGGCGTCGTCGTCATCACCATCGCCATCGCCATCATTACCATCATCATCACCATCAGCATCATCACCAGCATCATCATCATCAGCAGCATCATCAGCAACATCATCACCATGACCATGACCATCACCATCATCACCATCACCATCATGATCAGCATCATCATCAGCATTAGCATCATCATCCTCGGCATCGCCGTCATCATCGTCATCGCCAGCCTCATCCTCACCACCACCATCATCACTATCGTCAATCATCATCCCAACTATCATCATCGTCATCTGGGTCATCTTGGTCATCATCATCAGCAGCATCATCATCATCAACAGCAACAACAACAACGACATCCTCTTCCGGTTCCTCCTCCTCCTCCTCCTCCGCCTCCTCCCCCCCTCGTCATCATTATACTCATCATTATCACCACAATCACAACAACCATCACCATCACCATCATCACTACCGTCACCATCATCCGCACGGCTCTCCCAAGCCTGGAAACACGAGGTGTCACACGTGTCGGCGTAATTACCCCGTCGAACAGTCGCCACCAAGAATACTGGGCTGGCACGGTGACGAGACTTGCCGTAGGCAGCTGGGTTAGGAGGCCCGAAGCAGTAGGGATAGGGGATCTCACCAATCCACCACGCACATACTCGATCCCTGATGCAACGACGGGGACCTGAGCCAGGCTGCGCCTTTATATTGTGCTATCAGGGTCAGGGGTTCTTGAATTCTCTTGAGAGCAGAAAGACAACCTCGTAATGAGCACCCCGGCAAGCGAGAGCAGTTTGGTAAGCGCACCCAAACAACGAATCGAACAAGACGGTGCTGTTTCGTAAACGCCCAAAGCCGTGTAACTGACGCTAGTTCTGGGGGGGCGGGATATTCTTTCCCCCCTTAAGAGAAGGAGCAGAGGCGAAGGGAGCATAGGCCTCTCGAGGCGTGCTCGGAGGAGGCCGTGGGGGGCGCCTTCGGACGAGGAGAAAACGGCACATCCAGAACCTCTCCCAGGTCCACGCGGAGTTCATGGATCGGCACTGGGTATGTTTGTTCGTTTTTCGATTTCTCCTCGGGTCATCGTCAGAACAATAACTCCTGCATGTAGCCGACGCGCGACGGAAGGGCCCGAGGGGGCCGAAAGAAAGCGAGGGACGGGCCCCAAGAAACCACAGACGAACGAGCGGAGGGACACGACCGAAGAGAAGGGGCCAAGAAACAACGAGGGCCCGAAAGCAGCAAAGCGATGCTGGGAAAGCCTGGAGGGGAATCTTACTGCCCCCCTATCCGAGGGCCGGGGTGGCGCCCGAGGCGCCGCCGGGGAGGCCCGGCGCCGGGGGACCCCTCTGGCAGCACCCGGTCGGCGCCACCGCTGTCGCTTCCGTCGCCGCCGCCGTCGTTGCCGTCGCCGTCGTCGTTGTCGCCGTCGCCGTCGCCGTCGCCGTCGCCGTCGCCGTCGCCGTCGCCGTCGTCGTCGTCGTCGTCGTCGTCGTCGTCGTCGTCGTCGTCGTCGTCGTCGTCGTCGTCGTCGTCGTCCTCCCATCCTCATTCCCTCTTCACAATCACTCAATATGAATACTACTCTCCTCCTTCCACTGATGACGGGTTGGAAAGGTTCGCCCCCCCCCCGGCGTACTGTTTTTTTAAACACAGGATTCCCCGGAGTAGTTGGGTTTTCGCTTGCATTTTTTTTCGAAATGCTGCTCTCGCTGAGGCGCCGGCCTCATTTTCGGGCCCCGCTCGTTCCGAATCGTGCTCCCGCTGCAGCGCTGGCCTCATTTCCGTGCTTCCGCTCGTTCCGAATCGTGCTCCCGCTGCAGCGCTGGCCTCATTTCCGCGCTTCCGCTCGTTCCGAATCGTGCTCCCGCTGCAGCGCTGGCGTCATTTCCCGTGCCATGCCACGGCATGCAATGCAATGCTAGGTTGCGTTCCGCTGCGCGATGCCATGCCTTCAGCTGAAGCTGTGATATGCAGTGCTTAAGTGCCACGTCGTGCTATGCCATGCTACGCTTTGATCTTCAACGCCATGCTATGCAATGTTATGTTCGGGGCCTCTGTGCGATGCCATGCTTTGCGTTGCAAAGATTTGTGATGCAATTCTTCACTACGCCACGCCACGCCATGCTGTGACATACTACGCTTTGCGGTGCTCTTCTACGCCATGCCATGCCGTGCTCTACAATGCATCGCGTACCCTTTCGGGAGCTTTGCCCTGCTCGACATCCGACTGTGCGAGTAGAGAGGGGATCTACGCCATGGTAGGGAGGGGTAGTATGTCAGATATTACGCGAGCGCACCTAGCTTGCCTCCTTCCCCCTCCCTCTCCTCCTGCGCTCCCTCCAGCTGCTTGCGGTGGGAAGAGGCCGTAGGCAGCTGTGCGGAGAAAGGGTTCCCGAGCCAGTGGTTGAGCCCCCCCTGCCGCGCGGGTACAAACACAGACGGCCGCTCTTCTTCGCCTTTCGGATCATCTTCTTCATCGCGTACACGGTCCCATGCAGCGCCTCGAAGGAGTAAGGTCGATTTGGGGAGGTGAACGCACTTGCCTGCACTCATACACCTGCCCACCATCTACGCACTGCAGATGGCAAAGATCCCCCTCCTTATCCCTCTCCCCTCCTCCTCATTTGCAATCCGTCATCCTTCGGAGCCGAGCCGCCCCTGCGCCCGCCTCTCGGAGAATCGCTCCTCTCCTCTCGGCGGCAGAGCACCGCGGTGCAGTATACGGACTCCGGGGACAGCGAGGCCACGGGTGCACTCTGGGTCGCCCGACCGCACTGACTGCCACTCGCCCAGCGCCCCCTTGGCAACTGACTGCCACACTGGTGTGTTAAGCTTCGGCTCCAATCAAAAAGCCCCTCCCCAGGACTGCCGCAGGTTCGGACCAGGACGAATCGGGGATCTCTGAGACAAGGCGGTTCTGCAGGACGTATCGTGCGGAGCGGCCGCTCCTGAGAGCGCTCCGGAACGCGCTTGGACGATGCATCCCCGCCCTGGGATCGGGCGGGTGGCAGTTGGGAGGTGAAGAATACGCCCTCAATGTGTCCTTTAAGTTCACTGCTGGGGCCGTTTTCTTCACCCCCCCCATTCAGGTCCCCCCCCGTGACCACAAAGCCCGACTGATTTGGGGATCTGCTGACCCGGGTCGATCCAGGTCAGTCAAGCCTTGCAGAAACCTGCAAGATCCCGCCAGATCCTGCACCCATTCCCGGGTCCATGCGAAGGATCCTGCACGATCCTGCAGGATCCTGAACCCAAGCCTGGCCTGGGCCAAGGCGACCCTGGCCCTGCAGGATCATGCAAGATCGGGCGCTCTGGATGACCCCCGTTTGCATTGACCCCGGTCTCGAGGCTCCCGAACAATGGGCGCGCTCGGGCTCCGGCAACATGGCGCGCGGCGCCACACCCCGTGGCCGCAGGCCCGGGGATGCCGAGCCCCGGGGAGGGGGTGGGAGGGGGGAACACTCGCCAGGGTGGTGGAAAGCACTGGCCACGGGGGGGGGGGGAGGGCGTGCTCGCGCCGCACGCCTGCGACAGGAAGCGGGAAGGCGAGGAGGAGGAAGAGGAGGAGGAGGAGGATGAGGAGGAGGAGGAAGTGGAGGAAGAGGAGGAGGAGGAGAAAAGGCGACGAGGAGGAGGAGGAGCCCCGTCTCTTGAACCCGACTGACGACCCCTTCCCAAGAGCTGGCTGCTCCATCCGAGAGCTCCATGTGGGACGGCGTGCCCCCGCGCCCTCCTGCGGCTCGCCCCAAGGCTCGCCGCCGACCGAGGGCGGGGCACACCATCCCGCAGAGGAGAAACCTCCTCCTCCTCCTCCTCCAACTGCTCCTTCCTCGCATCCTCGCCCTCCTCCTCCTCCTCCTCCTGAACCTCTTCCTCCCTGCTGGCCCCTCTCTTTCATCTCACCCTCCTCCTCCTCCTCCTCGTTCTTATTATCATCCTCCTCCTCCTCCTCCGCCTCCTCCTGCTCCCCTCTTTCCTTTTTGCGCCACCGCCCTCACCGATCAGACAATTACGGAGGCGAAGGCATGCGCTCCACCAGAGGGTCACTGGAATCGAGAACAAGAGCACCACCTGACGGCCGCACTACAGCGCAAGAACATCTGTAGAGAGCGGAGAAGCCACCCCTATCCCTAAAAACAAGCGCCTCAAGAGATACAACGTTCGATAAACACACCCAATTAATGTTTCGAAAACTGCTGTGTAAACGCCCGTTTCGGAAGGTCGGACTGTTGTTGGCCATCGGGGACCAGGGCAACCGCGGCCCATCCACACATCCCACATGCCCCTGCGTTCGAAGTCGTAGGAAAAATCAAAACAACGAAGCAAACTAATCGCGACTACGTCTTCCTCAATCCGTGGCGCATGACCTGGGCGGACCTTATCGATCAGTGAGCGGGCCCCTGAACGGGCCAATGCCGCCCGTCCTGATGTTTACTTGATGGTCGTGAGCTCGCCAACATCAGGCGGTCATCTTACTATTTGCTGGAATGGCAACTGAAACTGTACGGTTAACTAGCCCGGGATGCTCCAAAGAGTCTCCCTAAAGTAATGGCTTTCGAAAACTGCCAATTCTATCACATTGGCCCCACGGAGATGGAATTGTCGACGCTCGCGAGGGCGGTCTCGACCACAAAAGACGACCTACCTACATGCTCAAGCCTTGTCCATAGCAGGGGGCAACCACGACAAACTGCACCGCATAATGAAAGTCCTTATGAGCGGCATTCGGCCGTGGCAAAACACTGCGCAGTCACCAGCCCGGAAGCCAGACAGGGGACTGGCACAGCAAACAAAAGTCAACTTTCGCGTGACGCCACAGGCGGAAGGAGGACGAGAAAGAGAATGTCAGAGTGAGGGGGCCAACGGACATTCATTGTCCTCGGGCGCGTGGCGGAAGCGGGGTTCCGAGGTGAAGATTGCTGTTCAGTTCAATATCCATTCCACAACCAGTCATTATCGTTGATTCCCCCTCTGGTGCAAGTTGTGCCTTTCGATCAGCTTGTTCCTCCTAAGGCTCGCATCCCGTTTCTTCACAACGAGATGTCTTCGTCCTTAAATTGTGGTGGTGGCCCCGGGTTTGCAACAACACCGGCTCCCGTCTGATACTTCATCACCATGTATTTCAATATCGCGCCCTCGCGCGGGACTTCCGACTAATCCCACCAGCCCTCTGGGCGCAGGTGGTCTAACGAGATTCCTCTTCCCTGTTCCCAACAAGCCCTCTTCCCCTACGGGCAGGGGTTTACCCCTCCCCCTGCCCCCGCCCCTGGACTTCTTTGGGGGGTTCCGCGAGGTGTCAGGGCGTCCAAGACGGCCTCGGCAAGGAAGCCACAATCACTGGTTATATTAAGGTTTTGGCCCCATGTTGGCCTCTTTGAGGGGGGACTGAACGTTGCACCATCTCCTCCTTTGATCGATGGCCTTCAGGATGGCACCAGGAGGCCTTCCAGGGTTCCCAAGAGGGCCCCAAGAGAGCCCCAAGAGGGCCCCAAGACCCCTGAATGACCCCCAAGAGAGCTCCAATAACCTCCCAAAGAGCCCCAGGTGAGCTCCAAGATGCGATTTTGAGGGCTCCCGGGAAGGGGCCGAGATCGAGGACCCCCCATCTTTTGATCGATGTTTTCCTAAATGGTCCCAACAGGCCTTCCAGGGCACCAGCCGCAGCACCAGCGGAGGCAGCAACAACATCAGCAGCACCACCAGCAGGAGGCAGGGACCACACGTTTTAGATCCCTCCACCTCCTCCTCCGAGTTTTTCCTCCTCCTCTTCCCCTCGCCCCCACGCGGCCCCCAGGGATGGACCGAAGAGGCCTTCCAAGGCCAACCCTTGCTCCCAGAGATCTCTCGGTTCATCATGGTTGCTCGCTTTGTTTCCCTAGATGTGTCCCTTCGTCCCTTTTCCCGTCGGCTCTCGTGGGCAAGGCTTCTGAATGGGCTGGTGGGAATATTTGTTTGTTCGCAACCGCTAGCGGACAGCCGCGCGGCGTCAGTCAAGCGAAGCCAGGCCTACGTGGAGCAGGGCAGGATGCTGGTGGTGATATTTGTTTGGTTTGCGGGGTCGCGAAGCAGGTCGAAAGCCGTCCGAACACTAGCCGGGCCGCGACTAGGCACAAAGAACAGAGAGGCAAGCGAAGAGAGCGCGCGGGCAGCCACTCAGAAGAAGAACCAAAAGCCCAATTCCCAACCCGATGGCGTGGAGATCCCGGTAGCGACCATCAAGTAAGCACAGCCAAAATGGCGCGGCGGCGCGACCGTAGACACGCAGAGGTCAATCACTCGGTGGGAGTCGGCACAAGGCACCGTCAGAGACGAGCACAGACACACCCAGACGACGTCCGTGCCGCGGGCGGCACCACTGCATCGTGTCAGGCTGGTGGGGATACTTGTTTGGTCGGCGGCCGCGCGACAACGGTCTGGCGGCAACAGGCGTGTCCGGGACGGCGGTACAGGCAAATTGCACGCAGGGCGTGCGGCGCACGTGCACTGAGCAAAATGCTCCTCGCTGGTGGGGATACGCCAAACGTGAAGAATTGCAGAATGCGCGCTCTCGCGTGATACTTCCTTACAATTTATTGCGGCGCCGTGCCCCCAACCCTAATAAGTAGGGAATCGCGCCGTCGCGCTGGTTTTCCTCACGATTTACTTGGGGATCGTGCTATCGCTCGAAATTTTGGATTGACGCTTCATCGACCCGCCCGCTCGACCCTGCCGCCTGGGCCCGCCCGCACGACCCCTATTACGGTCCGCCCGCCCGACCCGCCCATCAGGTTCTGCTGCTCGTTCTCCTGCTCCTTGCGATTCATGTTAGGTTCCCGCTTCAGCGACCCGAGCGAGACAGGGCGAGAGCGAGATTCCTGACTGTCGAGGGCGCGGCGTTTGAATACATTGCGAGGAACTCCCACGCGAGAGCATGATTTCTGCATGCACTGTTAAGAATTCCATCGCGAGGGCGCGATTTCGGAATACGTTGCGAGGAACGGGTACGCGGGAGCCGTTGATTAATTCGAATGCTTGAAAAATGAATATTGCTGAACCCCCTCGGGGTTCTTACCCTGTTTTTACTCATGCAGAGCCTTCCTGCTCAAAATGCGCTGTTGGCCCCGAACAACAATACTAACAACAACAAAAACAGCAGCAGCAACAACAGCAGCAACAGCAACAACCACCACCACCACCACCACCACCACCACCACCACCACCACAACAACAACAACAACAACAACAACAACATCAACAACAATCATTTTACCCGAACGCGTGGTGTTCTCCCCAGTGCCAGGGTTTTCATACGACACCAGGCAATACCCCCACTTCGTGGGGGGGCATTACAAGCTCTACCAAATATCCAAACGACTCTTCGCGGCCACCCAAACCCAGCTTCCCGCCCTATGACGTTGGGACACTTCACTTCGTGGCGTGCGGACGACCGTGGCTACTACACTGGCGTGGGGTACACACCCACAGAACTTGGTCACTTATTCGGGGCGCGCATGTGCCCAGCATGGTGCAATTGTGCCATACAATACATAATACAGAGAGACGAATGTGTCCCGCATGGTATTATTTGACAGGGATGATGGCCCTGGCAGGTGCGCAACCGTTGTCGCAGAAGTTCGAAAAAGTTGCTCGCAAAAGCCCGTTTGACAGAAATGTTTAAAAAGTGTTGGGTTTCCTACGAATCCGCAAGAGCGCGCGGGATGAGATTTTGACATTTTTTTGTTGAAAAACCATTGGTTTTTTGATGTTTTTATGTTAAAATCGCTCCGAACACTAAGCTTTTGGAAGGATTTCGTCTTGCGCGCGCGAATGTCCACTTTACCTTATTTTTTGCAAGGGATTCTTGAAATTTGATTATATTAGAACAAGAAATGTCATTTTATAGTGTTTTTTGCAAGGGAAAACGGATTACAACAAAACAACCGGATCTTGATCACATCGTTTACCTGAGGCTTCCTCACGAAAATGATGAAAATGTAGCTGCGGCCTAGGCGCGGCGGGGGGGGCGCGCACCAGGGGGCCCAACAATAATTATTCTTTAGAATTAATAATGTTCAACAACAACAACAACAGCACAGCAGCAGCAACAACAACAACAACAACAACAACAACAACAACAACAACAAACAACAACACAACAACAACAACAACAACAACAACAATCACTTTACCCGAACGCTCAGTGTTCTCACCAGTGCCAGGGTTTTCATGCGACGCCAGCCAATACCCCCACTTTGTGGGGGGGCAGTGCAAGCTCTACCAAATATCCACACGACTCTTCGCCACCACCCACACCCAGCTTCCCGCCCTATGACGTTCGGACACTTCACTTCGTGGCCTGCGGACGACCGTGGCTACTACACTGGCGTGGAGTACACACCCACAGAAGTTGTTAAGCCTACGTTCGTACACCCACAGAAGTTGTTAAGCCTTGTTAACCCACAGAAGTTGTTAAGCCTTCCACAGAACATCTGTTGCATATGATGCATATGGTACATGATACACATGATACACATGGTTTTTGGAGATTTCGGCGTGCGCGCGCGAAGAAAAAACGAATGTGTCCCGCATGGTATTATTTGACAGGGATGATGGCCCTGGCAGGTGCGCAACCGTTGTCGCAGAAGTTCGAAAAAGTTGCTCGCAAAAGCCCGTTTGACAGAAATGTTTAAAAAGTGTTGGGTTTCCTACGAATCCGCAAGAGCGCGCGGGATGAGATTTTGACATTTTTTTGTTGAAAAACCATTGGTTTTTTGATGTTTTTATGTTAAAATCGCTCCGAACACTAAGCTTTTGGAAGGATTTCGTCTTGCGCGCGCGAATGTCCACTTTACCTTATTTTTTGCAAGGGATTCTTGAAATTTGATTATATTAGAACAAGAAATGTCATTTTATAGTGTTTTTTGCAAGGGAAAACGGATTACAACAAAACAACCGGATCTGGACCCCATCCACTTTTCTGAAGCTTTCGCGAAAAAATGATGAAAATGTAGCTGCGGCCTAGGCGCGGCGGGGGGGCCGTGCACCAGGGGTCCCAACAATAATTATTCTTTAGAATTAATAATGTTCAACAACAACAACAACAACAACAAGAACGGTTCCCGCCGGATGCTTCCTCACAGTGAATTCCAAAATCGTGCTCTCTCGCGGGAGTTACTGACAATGAATGCAGGAATCGCTCTCGCGTGGGAGCCTCTCGTAATTTATTCAAACGCCGCGCCCTCGACACTCAGGGACCACGCTCTCGCTTTAGCCTTTCTCATCAATTACTTTGGAATCGCAGTCCGCTCGAGACTTCCTCGCGATGCATGCAGGATTCACGCTTCAGCAACCAGCCTGCTCGACCTGGCTGCCCGGACCAACCCTCCCGACCCGCCCTTTAAAGTCAGCCCGCCAGATCTGACCGTTTGGTTTTGCCACGTGCTTTCTGTTCCTAGCCTCCTTACTGCTAATCTCTCAAATGTTCCATCCTTTTCCCTCTCCCTTCCATCCATCCTCCCTTTCCGTGTTGTAGGGGCCGCTTTCCATGCGCGTGGCAAGCAAGGACGGTATACCCCCAAAGGGGTGCGATCGAAGACGGAGAGGCCGGGTACCGACGAGGGTTGGGGACATACGTGTCGAAGGGCATGCGAGCAGAGAGGAACAAGCAACCTTACAATGATTGTTGTTGTTCTTGCTGCAGCCGGGAGGCTGGGGGGACAGTTTGAGCACGCACTTTTCCTGATGAAACAGCGGGTGCGAAGTCCGAATGGGGCACTTCAATTGACCAACACATCATGACAGATCAACAGTACAACGTCTTCACGAATGAAAATTCAACGGCTTCCGCCTAACGCGGGACGTCCTCACAATGTATGCAGGAATCGCGCTCTCGCGTGGGACCTCTTCTCATTGTATGCAGACGCCGCGCCCTCGGCACTCAAGAAGCACGCTCTCGCTCTGGCCTTTCTGACGATTTACTAGGGGATCGCGCTATCGTTCAATATTGCCTCTTGAGTCAAGCAAGGCTCACGCTTCAACAACCCGCCTGCTCAACCGGACCGCCTGGGCCCGCACGGCCAAACCCGCCCGATCTGCCCGTTTGGTTATGCCATGTGGTTTCTGCTCATAGCTGCCCTCCAGCTAATTTCCCTCGTGCTCCATCCTTCGTCCTTCTTCCCCTGTTGCAGTGGCTGTGTTAAATGCGCGTGGCGGGTCTAGAAGATATATACCCCAAGGGGCAACGATCGAAGACGAAGAGGGCGGGTACCGAGAGATTGGGATACGCGTGCTGAATGGCACGCGAGCAACATGGAGCTAAACGTCTGGAACTGATGATTACTATTATTGTTGTTGCTGTTATCGATGTTGTTGATGGTGTGTTCGTTGTTGCGTTGTTTATGTTGCATTGTTGTTGACCGCGACCCGCTCGCGACCCACCCACACTGCAGTGACTTAAATTCAGCGCCTGCGGCGAGTTCGCTATGCCATGCGTGAAAAAGGGGCGACTGCGGCGTGCTTCCTGCGAGCCTCGAAAACTGCTGAAGACCCCGCCGCCCCCTCACTCCTATCCGCAACTGCGTGGGGGGCCGCGTATTGCTTGTGAGCCTGCGGACACCATTGGAACTGCCATGCTGTTTGTTTTCACTGCTTCGGCTAGCGGTCGTTACGTGGAGAGGGCAAGAAAGATGTTGGGACCCGAGGTGACACTGACGCTCGGGCAGGGGTGCGTTCCGATCGCCATTCTGCGCGTGCGAACACAGCATGGGAGGGGGGGGCCATGGGCCCCCCCCCCACATACGATCGTTACTGTCACCCCGGGGGGGGGTGGGGGGGAGTTAGGCCCAGGTAAAGACCGTTACGCGACAGAGGACAACACTCTGCCGGCACTTGAGCACCCTCCAATAGTCGAGTTTTGCTGAAGAGGACGCGCGAAGAGACACAATACCCTTCCGAGAGCCACAGCGCCATGGGAATGTGGAAGGCACGGGCCGCTGAACGTAGGACACCCTTTGATCTGGCAGGGCTGAACTCCTGATCAATGAGCATCGTTTTACCGATCCCTATCCCCACGGGGCGTGGCCTGGGCAGCACTGGCCGATTTACCTCCCTTGATGGGGGTATGGGCTGCTCCCTTCGAGCCTCGAGGCGCATATCCCCAGCTGGGACTGGGTAGTGGGATGGTGGGGATGGGGATCGGGATGGGGATCGGTTAACCGGCGGCGAACGAGGGGGGGAAGTGAGAAGGCGAAGGCCTTCTGAGAAGGTTCAGAAGGTTCGGAAGTCTCCTGGCCTTCTGAGACGTTTCCTGAGCCTTCCCCGAAGACAAACAAAAACGTCTCAGAAGGCGCGAGGGCTTCTGAGAAGTCCCGCCGCCTTCTGGGGAGGCCTTCTCCTTCTCACCTCCCCCCCTCGCTCGCCGCCGAGTTAAACGAGACTGACTCAAAAACTTCGACTGTAACGCCCCCCCCCCTCGGCAAGGGCAGCCCAGGGCGCCCCCCCCCCCCCCTTGGGCGCCGGCGGGCGGCGCACCTTGCTCGGGTGCTGCCACTGCCTGTTGAGGTCCACGCCGCAGAGGCCACCTGCTGGGCAGAAGGGGGGGGCGCGGAGGATAAGAAGGCGAGGTTCTGAGGAGAAAGAGGAGGAGGAAGAGGAGGAGTATTTCATCCGCGATCCCGTGAGGGCATGACCATGGTGCACGCAGTCGTGCAACACCATTTTAGGTGGATGAGCGCGAGGCGGCTAGCGGGCGGCCTCGCGGGCCTGGATGCGCGCCTGCAGAGCCAGCATCCCAGGTGTGTTGATAGCCCCTGGGGATGGCGACGGCTGCGCAAAACTGGCATTCTGCGGTGGCGGCAAATCGGCGGCATTGCGCAGGAAAGACACACCACGGCGCACACACACACACACACTAACCGTAGACAGTTCATGATAGTGTGGGTAGATGCCCCAATCAATTCGACGGAAGATGGTCGGAGCACCTGACAGCTTGCGCTGCAGGCACTCCTTGCCGAGTAGGTAGCAGCGTTGTGAAGTGTACGTTCCGCACACGACAACAAACAGAACATCGTTAAATACGTATCACCCTTCTGAACGACTCGATGGGCCAACTCATTGCCCTTGGTGAGGTCGAGAATACCCCGACAAGTCTTCCAGAGACCCTTACATCCTAGCATTAGTCAGCCCGAGGGAGGGGGACGCGGAGGGAGGAGCAGGAGCAAGAGTTCTCTGCAGCACCGTCCCCTTCCCGAGCCGTACTCCTGCATGGCCAGCCATCGTGCCTTCCACGACGAACCACTCCAGGCAATCGAAGGCACTGAGCAGCACCCAAAGAAGTGAGCATACCGACGAATACATAACACGATGCTAAGAAAATCCGACCAGCCAAACAACAAGAACTCTGTCAGCCTTGCTGTGGAAGGAGGCCTGCGGAAGCCAGCGCACCCCGGTGCGGCGAGCTCGTCCAGGGCAGCGGTGAAGTCCCGCGCCGCGACAGCGGTCCTGCCCGACGCCTCGCCCCTGCGCCTGAGGATCCTCGCCGCGGTCGCCGGTGCGATGGCCACAGGGTCGAAGGGCGACTCGGCGTTGCGTCGCCGCCATCGCTTCCTCCGTCATCGCCTCCATAGCTCGGAGGCCGCGCCGCCGCCACCCTCGGCCGAGCGCGGTCCCCGACGAGCATGCCCTCACCAGCAGCTCCGTCTCCACAGTCGGCAGGCTGCACGGCTGCGGCCGTGCGAGCGCTGCGGCCTCGACCAGGGCCTCGGGGAGCTGCGCCGTCGCCGTTATCCGCAGCGGTGCCCGACCGCGGGCCAGGCGGCCCCTGGGCCTCCACACTCGGGAGGCGCGCCGCCCACGGGGCGTCCTCCGCCTCCTCCTCCGCCTCCGATGGTCCCAGGGGCAGGCCCTGCGATTGGGCCGCGCACGCCGCGGCGCGAAAGGGGAGTCCGGCCCCGAACAGCACGGGCCGCGGGAGGGAGGGGCAGCGGCCGAGGCGGAGCGAGAGGCCCCGTGGCGCGGGCTCGGGCGGGGCGAGCGACGGGTCGGGAAGGATCGGGGTCGGGATCGGGTCCGCGGGAGGTCGTCTGCTGCTACGCTCATGAGAGCCACTGCCTGCCGAGACATTCGCAAAGGGAACTCGGGGGGGGGCCCGCGGTTGGGGACCTGCGGATTCGACCACGCGACTGACCCTTCGCCATCCGTCGAGGACCTCCCCTCCTTTGGCCCAGTCGGGGTTGAAGGCATTTCTGGGTAGTAAGCTGTGTGTGGCGGGGGGGGCGTTGGCTCTAAAATAAACATTACCCACACACCGTATCGTTTGCCAATGGCGTCGGTGTCGATCCTCTTCCTCTACATTGCTCTCCCACTGTTTCTCCCCCTCCCCTCCGTCTGTCCCCATTGAGGTCCGTGCTACAACGTTTGACAACGCTGTTGTAGCACTTCCCAAAAAATATATACCGTATGTTTGAAGATTGAAGGTTGAAGATATCACCGGCCTCATGCCCAACATTCTTCAAACAGCCGCTTCACGCCCTGCATGAGGAACGCACATATGTTGGAAGATTGAATGTTGGAGATCTCGGCGGATTTATGCTCAGCATTCTTCGAACAGGAGGTTGACATCAGACTTCGTTCGAAGATCGAAGATTGAAGATCTCAGCAAACGTATGCCTCCTGCTGCTGCTCCCCACAGGCCATGAGTAGAGGGAACGGGGCGGACGGCGACAAAAACATGGCGAGGAGAACGACGAACACTGATGGGGAGAATGACCACGCAAGCGACATGTCGAATCGACATTCTCCAGCGCGCAGGCTGGAAGCCACATCGGTAATTGCCGCATATGACGCCGTCCGGGTTGAGCATAGGGACGATCTGGAAGACGAAGTTGTCGCGCAAGACCTCCCGAACCCCTCGGGACCGAGGCACTGCACGTTGCTGAGCTGACGCTCTCATCATGCCCGCCCTTCTCGCTACCTCACGGCCGAATGACCCTCAGCCAGTGCTGCAAGCACGCGGTAGAGATGGCAGATCACGCGCTGTTCGAATGTGAACACACACGCACACACACCAGGTGCTTCTGTCGACGGGAGTCTGTCTTGGGGCTCGTTCAAACAACCTGGAATCATACTAAAATCTATGCCGCAATTGGGGGTGCATGTTTCGTCCACTGACCCATCATAACAACATGGCAGTACCGGGGGGGGACAACATATACACAACACGGCGCCTGCATCTTGCTTCCCCTGGGACATAAGTGACCACCGATCACCAATGTCCAGAACACGTGCGGACCATGTTGCCACATTCGAATATGAAGTCGAGTTAACGCTCGACATGGCAATTACATGCGCAATGATCGCACAAAAAGTGCAGGTGTGCCGAATGCCGTATAGGACATGCTACCCACAATCCATGCCGATGCACTGCAAAGGACACATTGCTACCAGAATCTGGACCTCGATCCGAAGGCTTATCCCTGGGACCACGTACTCATGAAAAGTCCTTACTTGACGGTCTTGTGGCGTTTGTTTCTGACACGGATCAGACCGTTCAAACTTTGACGATCGCGATTTTCTCATAGCGAGGACCGTTCTCGTCGGCCGGTTTCTGGGCCACTCGCGGCGTTCAACCTTGAACGCCCACGCAACAATCACCGCCGAGTCGAAACTACGTGAACCTAGGGCATCCTCTTCTGATCGGGGGGGGGCAGGGGAGAGCGGCGAGGTAGGGGGGTAAGAAAGGAGCAGGACGGGGAAATAAAAAAGGATGCGGATGAGGAGGAGGATGGAGGAAGGAGCAAGAGCAAGGATGACATCGCGCAGCTATGGAACTTTCGGAACGACGCCGGGGTACCACCGTCGACTCTCCCATATTGATGGCCGACATCCAACGCCCATTGTTGCGCAATTGCCGTGGGCCCCCACATCGAAATATTTGCATCGTTGCGTCAGGCGTTCTCGCAGACATCAAAATCCGTGACTGCTGCGCTGCGTTCCTCGACGGGCACACCAGTACGTTCCGGTGCCCTGCGCTAACGAAAACGTGACGTATCGCCATGTGCACTGCCACGTCCGCATCCATTCCGCCTCCGACGACGCACGCGTCGCTCGGGAAAAGAACGGGCGCTCGAGCCAAACCGGCGCGCCTGCTCGAGCCCGTGGCTGCGGAATCCAGCCGATGTTTGTTTTCGAATTGCCAGCGGAGGGCAAAACATCGAAGGCAGAAGCCTCCGCCCTGTCGCGGGGCGTCAACTAACCGCCTCGCTAATCCTGGCCGGGCCGATCCTGGGCACTGTGTCAATGTCTACGCAGTCCCAGCCGAGCCAGGAAAGCGTAGACGACGATCCTGCGCCCGGGATGGGCCTGGCCAGGATCGGTGAGGTGGCCAGTCGACATCTCCCGACCCGCTCGCTGCTCCTCTCCCTCCTCTTCCTCCTCCCTCTCCCCGATCCTCAAGGCAGGCTCGCGCGCAAAACGTGCGCCCTGAACTCTTGCTGGTCGTGTACCACAGCCTTCAGCAAACACCCACAATCAGCATTGTGCTTCAAACATGTACAAGCCCAAAAATGCTCGCGTCGTGAAAAAACTTCGGACGGGAGGCTTTCGTTCTCGGGTTCTGGCAGACTCGGAGGCCCTTAGCAGGATAACAATTCTCCCGTTCGGCGCCAGCGAGGAAACGTCGGGCGGATGCCGCGGCCGGCGCGCGCGGGCGGGGCGCGGCCCAGAAGGGCCGGGCCCCGGCGGGCGCGCGCGGGCCGCGCGGCGCCTCTCAAAGGAATAATGTTCCACTGCGTGCCGTCCCTGGAGAAAGGATCGGGGCTGCCTGGGGCCCCGCAGTGAACAACTCAGGGCGTCGCATCCCTGGGTAAGTACAAGGGCGCGCTAGTCGTCGAGCTTTGAGCTCCCTGAGCTGCCCCAGGGCTTCCGTGGGCCGCCGAAGGCCATGGGGGAACGAGGCACTTCCGTGTGCGGGCCCCTTCTAGCAGACGGGCTTCTTGTGGCACGTGCGTGCTGCAGGCCTTCCCCCATGCAGTGGAGGCCAATCCACAAGAAACCTTCCACAAGAAACGCGACCCTGAGACCCCAAAGCGTCCCTTGATTTGTGGTGTGGGAAGGTCTCGCTTTTTACAGCAAAACCATCAAAACCCAGGAAACCCAGGGCACCCTGGAGGCAAGCTGGGTGGCTCTTGACATGGGTACCGTCTCGACCGCCCCCACCACCCTCCCGCGCGGCCTCCGCCTCCGCGGTCGGGGACAGCAGGAAGCCTCCGCGCCCCAGTAAGCGGAGAGGGGGGGGGGGCAGGTGGACGAGCGGGCGACCGCTGGGGGCGCGGCGGCGCGCGCCCTGGAGCGGGGGGGGGCGGGGGGGGAAGGCATCCCATTCCTCCTCTCCCCGTCCTTTCCCCTATATTCCTTCCTCCCTTCCCTCTCCCCCCCTTGTTCACTCCACCCTCCCCTCCCTCCCCATCCCCCCCTTCTTCCCTCCTCCCTCCCACCCCCCTTCCCCTCATCCCGTCTTCCCTCCCTCACTCGCAGCATCCCTACTCCTGCTCCTACCTCTCCGCTTCTACTCCCATCTTCCTCTGATTTCATTCAGCCATGCTTGCATTGAAGTGGTCGGAGCAAGAATTGATGGTCCTTCTGAAATTTACCAGGCCAAGTTCCCATGTTACCCATGTTCTGGGGTTTTCGAGGTCGCGGTTGTTACCAAGTGCAGCAAACGTCCTGGAGACGATGGCCATAGTAATAAGTGGTTAAGTTGGTGCAGTAGGGATACACCAACTCATGAGAGAGTGGGAGCAAAGTTAACCACATAGTACACAACAGTGGATGCGCATGTACACATATAGGTATACAGGAAGAGTAAGAGAGATCAACGTGTAGGTATACACACATCAGCAATCGACACCATCTGTATACACATACAATGTGTGCTTGACCAGAGAGGCACAGAGAGAAGGAGAGCGTCCTTGCGACCGCGGTCGAACAGACGCACATAGAAACAATGTATCTGCTGATGCACAGACGGGGCGGATCAAGTATATATAGTGTGTGAGTGTGCATGTCTATATACGCATATATATATAGAGGTCCAAGTGACAGAATATAGTATGCAGACACGGCCGGGTACATATCAGAGTCGGCTGGGTACACCTAGAGAGAGAGAGAGAGAGAAAGAAAGAGAGAGAGAGAGAGAACAACAAAAACAACGAGAGAGAGAGAGAGAGGGAAAGTGAGAACAACGCCAGAAATCCCACCAACACTTCAGGGTGTGAATGCTTTAGCGGGCTTCCTGTTCAACCCCCCTTCTTCCAATATCTGGAGGGGGGACGCGGCCGGTCGTGAACGTCCAAGATGGCGTCGGCCTGTACTTAGGTGTCGGGCACAGTTTGGCCTCCTGGGGGGGGGGGCTAATTAAGTAACCCCCTTCTTTAATCAACTTCTTCCAAGATGGCCCCAAGATGGCCCCCAAGGCTCCCAACAGGTCCCCAAGAGGCGCCCAGGAGGCCGTCAGAGGCCCCCAAGAGGCTCCACCGAGGCACCGAAAACGCTCCAGGAGGCCCCTAGGACCGCCAACAACCTCCGCCTTTCCTCCTCCTCCGCCGTTTCCTCCTCCTCTCTGCTCCCTGTTGCCCCTCCCTCTCCCCTCTCCCTCTCCCCCCTCCCTCTCCCCCCTCCCCTTTCCACTCGTCCTCCTCCATCCTCCATCCTCCTCTATCCTTCTCCTCTTGAGGTATGACGGCTTCACTTGCCCGCTACTCCACTGCATGCTTCTCCGCATCCCTGATCAAGGCAACTCGTCTGGGCATCGTTTCTGTATGGGCTGGCTGGGTTACGCGAAGCGTTTATAACATCTGTGTGCGCAAATCGGCGTGACCTGACATAAACACTCATGCGCGTATATAAGTCCACATTTCCCGAGAAATGAAGACGAAACAATAAAACATGTCCAACATCAATCGCCGAACCGCAAAGTCGTTCAGCCATCGTAGCGGAAGAGAGGAAGGAGGAAGGTACTTGTTGTGTCCCTCCGAGACGACGCCGACGATGCCTGCTCCGAAGAAGGAGAGAGGGCATAGGGAAGAAGTCAGGATGTGAATACCTTGGGCCCCTGCATCCCAAGTCATTACAATTTGCAACACCCACAATGTTGAGACACTGTTGACGTAGAGCCGCACGCCAACGCTCGTATATCACAAGTGGTCCAACCACGGCCGCAATACCGTGGATCACGGACATGAGCCCTTTGGCCAGAGGCAAACGGGCACTCAACCCAATCGAAGGCGTTACCAAGGTGGACGGTCTGGGAACGCACGGCCAGAGTCGGCCCAAACACATGGGGGGGGCCGAAGGCCGAGCCCCCCATGGGGTCCTATCAGGCCGTGGGCCATCCAGCTGGCGTTCGTCTCGCCCGGGTGCACGCGGGAGCTGATGACGACCGTCCTCTTCTCCCTGGCGGAGCCGCAGCTCGGCGCAGGAGGGGTGTGGCGGGAGGGAGATCTAGACACTTGGTCACGGACCCAGCAAACGCACGAATGGTTCAAGCTAGCGCTGGGCCAGAACAAAGATTGTGCGAGAGGGACCCACGCATCAAATGTTCGCTTTGTTTCACAAGGCGGTCCCCAAGAAATCCGGACTTCTTCCCAAGGACGGACTTGTCATCCTGAAAGGTTCTTGACTGTCCTGGGGCTCGGCAACAAGCCCCCGAAAACAGAAAATAACCGACTACCTTGCGTCGTGCATAATGTGTAAGATGCGAGGATATCACGGGATCAGGGAGGAGGGGCAGCGAGGGACTGGAGTGAGGAGAAGTGAACTTCGACGAGAGGGCAATGCGGAGAGGACTCCTGCTGCTCTCCTCTCGTCCATCCTCACAAGATTTGCCTCTTCCTCTTTCCTACTCCCTGATCCCTCCGCTCTTCTTATTCATCCTCCCTCCGCCCGCTGGATTAGGAGGCAACTCTTTTTAATGGAGCCCGGTTGAGCAGCCATTGAGTCGGACCAAACCATATTTCGCACAGGATAAACCCTTGCATGGGACTGAGCCGGATAGGCGGGATTAAGCAGGATTGGACGAAATGAAGTCGGATGATATCAGTTTTTGACCAAGGACATACTGGCGGCGATTCAGAATTGGACCTCCCAGGAGTGACAGTCGAAGCTGGAGAGGTGAAGAAGGGGAAGGAGAAGGCAGGGGCGAGGCGTGGCTGGTGGAGAGAAGACGGACGACGACACGTGAGGAGGGAAATGACTGCCGGAAGATTAGAGGCGATAATCAAGTATATGTATACAGACAAGTAGAAACATAGACGATCATATATATAGTCATGTGTATATATAGACATGCATACAGTTAGCTATTCACATGACAAATTATGTAACGGACGATGGCGGGTAAAATCGAATTGAAAGGGAGACCCCCCCTGGGAAAATCAGTTGCGGTGTCGTGTTCGAGCCGTGCTGCCTGCGAGCCAAGTTACAGATGAGGACAGCCTCCCTCCAGTCTTTCATTAATCGCGTGCCTGCCATGGCAAGTCCCCCTGGCCAGGGGAAGGGCTCTGGCAAGGGCAAGGGCATCAACTTCGGGAAGGGTCCTCCTGGCGGCCGTGGGGGTGCTGGCGATGCTGGTAGTCTTGTGCAGTCTCAATTTCCGTGGCACCCGCTCGTTACAGGTCCTCAGCTCGGAGGCCAAAGGGATCAAGGCAGCCAGCAGCAGCAGCAGTACCCGCACGCCACGAAATGGTCGGTGTGGACATGCGCAAGAAGAAAGACGTTCGTTGGAACCAATGCAAGCGCTGAGGCTCAGGATGGACCCCTTTTCGTCACGGGTAGTGGGTCCCTGCCGCCGAGAGGTGTTTGGGGCTCGCCCAATAGAGTAGTCAGCTACTCGCCATTCGCTGCGGCCAGTCTGGCTCAGTCTCTAGGGCAGTTTGGTTCCAACGGCTTCCCTCCTCGAGCTGCTGGCTAGGCGCATGGCGGCTGTACTTCGACGAGCGAAGGCGAGCTCTCGAGGGAGGAGCATGAGAAGCTGCCTGACCTGTTGAACACGGCTGGCGATGCGCAGGGAGCTGCCAAGCACCGCGCTCTGGCAGCTCCGCCTCCCGTCGCCAAGGAACCGACCCTTCAGCACCAGGTGTCGGTGGCGCATTCCAAGATGCGGTCGGTGGAGAAGAAGCTCAACGGTGCTGCCCAGCGCTATGAGGAGTCGAACCAACACATGGTGCAGCAGAAAGCTCTCATCACTCAACTGGCGTCGGAGCTGGACGATTGTAAGGAGGAGCAATCCAACTTAGTCGCGCTGCTGCACAAACCTGCGTGCAACATCCAGTCGGAGTCTGAGCAGACGGACAAAGGCACGCTGACATCCATCTTGGACGGCTCGGTCACGAAGCAGTTGGCCATTGATCCTGGCGAGATTATTGGTCCCATCGACGCTTACGACTGCTGAAGATCGAGAACAGTTGGATCGGCGTGCTCAACAGCTGCGTGAGGGTATTCAATCATTGGCGGCGCAGAACCTGTTCTCGTAGGCTGCGGAGAAGGTCAACAAGATCAAGGAGGCGCACAAGGCACACGTGCAGAGGCTGGCCAAGAAGAGGAAGGTGGTCGACGGCAAGGGAGAAGCTGCTGCGGCTGAAGGCTGTGGATGCCCCCCTGACTCAGGACGGCTTGACTCAGGGACGGAGGGATCCGATGGCTCGGCGGGCAGTGGAGGCGAGAGCGCCAAGGAGCCTACCACTTCGGCTGCTGGTGACGGTGCTGCTGGCAATGCAACCTCTGCTGCCGAGCTTCGCAAGCGTGTCGCCAATACCATGTCTGAACCATATGTTCCCCCCACATCGGCCGACTGAGTTGGTGCAGGGGGGTACCCCTGACGTTCAGCAGCTTGATTTCATTGGCCGACTCATTCAGGAGGCTTTGCATTGCAACACGGCCTCGGCAAGGTGGGGTCACGCAGGTGATTCGAGCTGGTTTGCACGGCGTCAAGCACAGGCTTGCTACGATGTCTTTGTTTGCAAGCTTTCCATATGACTCTGAACAGCCGTGGGCCATCACATCTCATCAAAAGGTTGTAGATTGCCGCTTCGTTCCTGATCTCCCGGAATGCTGGCAACTCTGGCCCTTTTTTGAGCGAGTCGAGCAGCCTTGGCTGCTGCCCTGCGCTGCAGGAAGAGTGCGTTCTTTTGTATCCTCGAGCCTGTCGGCAAATCCGTTGATCTCCCCCCCACAGCGGGCGCAGGGCGTTCCCCAATTGGATCAAGGCGTCGCTGCGAGGAGCTGTGAAGCACACTTCGTGGAGAGCTCGGCGCAGCTCGGCGTCTGGAGCTGCAGGAGTGGCTGAGTTTGCGAGGAGCCTGCCGATGGTTCCTGCCATGTTTTCCCAACCATCCTGTGGTGTTGGGTCCTCGTTTTGAAAAAACGGTGCCCCGCGTTCCTCCTTCCGTCCTTCCTTCCGTCCCTCCTTCCCCTCCTCCTACTCCTCCTCCTCCTCCTCCTCCTCCTCGTCTTCCTCCCTCCTCCCTGCGTTTCACCCACCCAGTACAGCGTTTCGTGGCCCCACAGGGAGCTCCACCGAAGGCCCCAGTGGCAGGGTTCGCATGGCGGCCCCGCGCCATTTTGGCGCACCCCTCACACGGTTCGTGGCCCCATAGGGAGCTCCACCGAAGGGCCCAGTGGCAGGGTTCGCATGGCGGCCCCGCCTTTTGGCGCACCCCTCACACGGTTCGTGGCCCCATAGGGAGCTCCACCGAAGGCCCCAGTGGAAGGGTTCGCATGACGGCCCCGCGCCATTTTGGCGCACCCCTCACACGGTTCGTGGCCCCATAGGGAGCTCCACCGAAGGACCCAGTGGAAGGGTTCGCATGGCGGCCCCGCGCCATTTTGGCGCACCCCTCACACGGTTCGTGGCCCCATCGGGAGCTCCACCGAAGGCCCCAGTGGCAGGGTTGGCATGGCGGCCCCGCGGTTTGGCGCACCCCTCACATTGTTCGTGGCCCCATAGGGGAAGGCCCAGTGGCAGGGTTCGCATGGCGGCCCCGCGCCATTTTGGCGCACCCCTCACACGGTTCGTGGCCCCATAGGGAGCTCCACCGAAGGCCCCAGTGGCAGGGTTCGCATGGCGGCCCCGCCCCATTTTGGCGCACCCCTCACACGGTTCGTGGCCCCATAGGGAGCTCCACCGAAGGCCCCAGTGGCAGGGTTCGCATGGCGGCCCCGCGCCATTTTGGCGCACCCCTCACACGGTTCGTGGCCCCATAGGGAGCTCCACCGAAGGCCCCAGTGGCAGGGTTCGCATGGCGGCCCCGCATTTTGGCGCACCCCTCACACGGTTCGTGGCCCCATAGGGAGCTCCACCGAAGGCCCCCGCATGGCGGCCCCGCCCCATTTTGGCGCGCCCCTCACACGGTTCGTGGCCCCATAGGAGCTCCACCGAAGGCCCCAGTGGCAGGGTTCGCATGGCGGCCCCGCCCCATTTTGGCGCACCCCCTCACACGGTTCGTGGCCCCATAGGAAAGTCCCCTTGCTTCGTCCCACCTGCCTTGCGGTTCTCACACTTGCGTATGGTTGGGTCTTTCGCCAAGGTAATTTTGGCGTTGCTCAGCCCTGCAGTGTCTACGCAGTCGCGACCAGTTTGGAGCCATGCTGCCCCGTCGAGTACATCAGTTGCCCCAGGGACCCTCTTGTCTGTAGCGTCTCCCTGGGGTATCCTCAGGGCTTCTCTAAGACGGGCCAGGGGCGCATGGATAGTTTCGAGCTTTGTATCGACCCGGTCAATTGCAAACATTGATCCACGATGAAAACTCTCATGGCTAAAACGCCTGAACATGTGATCCGTCGCCAAGAGCACAGGTTGCGTGCGGGGGAGGAAATTGATCAGGCGTCGGCCTGCTGCTGGCTCTACCTCGGCTGGCAACTGCGTTCTTGCAAGAGACTTCCCAGGCCTTCACTTGCCCCAGTGGGAGGCGGAGTTGGTTCGTGGCAGCGCTGTGGCTGGTGAGGTTCACCAGCCAGGAGGCCTTCGCTTCGTGGTTTGCTGGGCCTACATTCACCATTATGAGAAACTCATCCTTAGAAGGCGTTTCTTTATGTTCGGCGATGACGGGCGTCACAGGGGGGGGGGAGGCCGGGGGTGGGTATGACGTGACGCCCCCCCCCCGCCGTGTGGCTCCGGCACCACAGCCGCGCCCGCGCGCACGACGCGACGAGCGACGAGCGACGAGCGACGACGACGCGAGCAACATGTAAATGGCGATCTGCCCATTGCGCTTGTGTACACCACAACGCTCGCGTGCACCACACCGCGCGTGTGCACCACAGTGCCTGCGTACACACCGCAACAGCCGTGTGCAACGCACCGCCCGTGTATACCACAATACTTGGGAGCACTACAGCGCCGGTGTACATACACTGCAGCAGCCATGTGCAACACAACGCCTGTGTACACCACAGTG